AAGTCACTCGGGCAAAACTATCTGAGGCTTGCGGACATGTGTGAATACAATCCTTTGAAGATATTCTGAGGTAAGCATAGCTAGGACAAATCTGACACCTACTGTCTGCAGCATGCGTACGCATAACAGTGGGCATGTGGGCATATCACATTGCAGAGGCTAATTGGTAAGCACAGCGAGGACGACCCTTGACATCAACCAATTCGTTCACACACGTGCCCAGTCGTCGCTGCAGGTGAGGACGATGACAGTAGATGGCCAGTCGGCTTGTGGAATATTTTCTCACTGCCCGCTTCCTTCGCTAAATTTGTAACAATCGCTACGTCACTTCGCGTCACTCCACTGTGGGTGTACGAGTGCGTGCACGCTGCCCGCGGACATGCTTCAGCCCCTCGAGTGATCGCGCAAAAAAAAAAAAAAGCACTGGTCGAAGCAGCTGCGTTCACGCTTTAGTACCGTTTCCAGTGGAGCACAAAAAAGCTGACATCGGGTATAGATCAATTTCGCCGCAGGGTTACAGGCTTGACAATGCACTTTTCCATTTCGACTAGCTGCGGGGAGCGCGATTGATTCTTGCAGAGGCGTGACAGTGTATATGCAAAGCACAATTCAGACGTGCACTCGCGGTCCAGATCACCGCTTGTGCTCCGTTGGCGTCTCATACGTACCTGGCGCGATTCCTGTTGAGGCCAGCAACGGGCGAATGATGTTACACCCGTGAATAATGCTGCCAAGCGGCGAGTTGGGCATCGCTGTAGGGCAGACTACACAACACCGCAGCGGCGCGTCGTTCGAATGAAATAAAACATTAGCTACACTGGACGTTTTAGCGAAAGCCAAACGAGCTGGGTTTATTTCCAGGCCGTAAATGACTTCGGAACGCTGGCAGCGGTCACGGGTCCTTAGGCCTAAACACACCCTTCCGCCCTGGAGTACGCGAACGTTACGGCAGAAAGCATAAAACGGCCGTAGCGTAGCTGCCCAGTCAGCATTAAGACCTGTGCGCGTATGTTATCCAGTTTCACACTAACGATACCTTCCAATATCTAGGACTGCACCAATGCACTTTTTCGACTGGGGCGTGGAGTGCTCCAAAACAAAACGGCAGGGCGTCTGCTCGCGTCGGCGGTAGCGGGGGGGAGGGGGGCTGCACGCAGCTTAGAACAGCCCGTAGCGCGCGCGTACCACGTGACTGCGCCAGCCAATCGCGGTACTCTTCCCTCCTCCCTTTCCTCCTCTCCCTCCTTCTTTTCTCTCTCGCGGGGCTCTGCCGTGGGGGGTCTCACAATACGCGCCCGGCCCAGGGGACAATACATGGAGATCGACGCAACATCGAAAACACGGCCGATTAAAAAATAAACGCTCGGTTCACACTTTTTAGAACTACTAGTCTGTCGTGAAGTTGGTAAAGCACTAAACGCTTTATCAAAGTTTTCATAATATTCAATGCATGCGAAAATTTTGAGAAGGCAATTTTCAAGGCGTGAAGCAGACAATTCTTTTTTTTTTTTTTTAAGCAGCGGATAATAGGGAGTTTTCGTATACCGCTTTTCCCCCTCCGCTAAGCCCTCCGCAACCAAGAAGCCGCTACTGCGCCTGCGTGCCGATAACCTTGGCTGTAAAGTTCCAGGTATCGTAGAGAGTTGCGGAGAGCTTTGCGGGATGGCGAAAAAATCTACGAAAATTCCCCATTGAATTTCTGGATTGGCCGGAGCGGGTCGCATGAACGGTGCAATGTTTTTGTCGCGCGTTTTCCGAACAGCGTGACAAAGCGTCGATGAACGTCGAGCAGCATCGAGATCGAGTCTCGAAAACTTGTTGGCTACCAAGAGATTCACAACTAGGGTCTATTCTACATAGAGCAGCTTCCCAAACATGACATGTTGCTGTGCCTTCGGAAATACAATTTCCAGTCAATTTACGTTACCAAGCCGGGTTGGAGCCTTTGGTGCCTTCGCGCACACATAGTTTACTTGATTACAAATATTTATAACATTTGGCGACCGAGAGACCGGAGCGGCCGGCGAAGTCTTCTCCTAGCCACGCATATGCGTGGTTTCAGACAGACAGGTTTTAGATCGCGATTCCGGCGTAAAGAAATTCGTTATAAATAAACCAACTAAGCACGATGAAACTTTCACAAGTGTCTTTAGGTGCATGGGGCATTTATCATATGAATGTAGGAAAGAAAGCGAATTCCTATGCGGAGGAAAGCGGCAAAAACAGTGTGGTCGACGCCGAACACACAACACACAGATGGCACAGGCTAAAGTAAAAACTTCTTATGTGATGCAAAGCAGAAAGCAATCCAGCAGATACGATCATGTACAGTATGCGGAGCGCAAGATCGTCTGCTTCTTGCACGGGGTTGCGATGACGTCAGAACGCCAAGCTATTATTGGCGAATTGGAAAAAAAAAAAAAAAAAAAAGAGGGTAGACCATAAAGCGGCCCACTATCCTTTCAAAGTCAATCAGCTCGGCATCGTTCTGATGTCACCGCAACTCCTGCGCAAGCACAGTTTTTCCTCCCTGCGTAGGAAAAAAACAAAATTTCGTTAGGCTTAATTTTTTTTTTTTCCTGAAATTTGTTTATGAGATTTAAGCATGCTAAATGCACCATCTAAAGGCATTCGTGTGAACAGTTTCAATGCACCCCGTTTTGTTTATGCGAATAGTTTATATTGAGCAGTGGTCCAGTCACGAGTAGCAGATGCAGCCTAACATAAATTAATGCTCATGTCAGTTTCACAATTTAAGAAAGAAAAAAAAATACTTTGCTCAGTATTTTTTTGCAATGGCGTAGTGCCAAATAATGCTTCAATAAAATAGCTTTGTATTATTTTATCTTCCGACGGCATGTGGGGTGCACAATTGACGATGGCATTGGCAAGTTAAATTGTTGTGCAACCTGAAAAATGTTTTCCAGCAGATAAAAGAACTCGTGCACCGTCCCCATATGGTTTCTTCCAGTAGATTATGACTACAATGTGTGGGACCTACATAAAACGACAGAGTTTCAGGCGTCACTAATATTGAAAGAATTGCTACCGTAAAATCCCGAGATGCCCCACCCCCAAAAGGTAACCCACCCCTATTTTTGGCTTGCATTGCTTTTTTTTTTTTTGCTTTTTTAAACACCGATAGATAGCACACTTCTAGTAATCGCAGTGTTGGGATCAATGATGATCTTTCTTTTACGGTTTGTCCCGAAACCTTGGTGCCTGGTCTGGGCTGCTGTAGCGCTACAACTGGGTGGAAACTGAGCCTTCAAAGATGCTTAGTTTATTTTTTCAATTAAGAACAATGCAACTAATGGGGAGAGCTACACGAGTGCCATCTTCATGTATTTATTGGGCTCGGCAGACATTAGATGAGGGCATTATCGTCACGGTGAGTTCACCAATTAACTAAAATCTCTCAATTAATTCTTGAATGTTTGGTTTTAAGGGGTCACGCTAGATTTGCAGCATCTGCAATTACTATAAGAGGCCAGACCAATTAAAAATAAGTGTGAAAACGTAAAGGTCATTCAGATATTTATCGATTTTTGCATTTTTTTGCCCATTTTAACAATTGCCTTCTAAAAGGAGAGCATCGAACCCTTCCTACAATGACGCTTGGAAGGGTGAAGTGGTCATGCATTCATGTCTCCTCGCGACTTCTGTCAACGGCGCAACCACAAAGCACACGCTGCCGAGATAGTGACACGACTGGAATGTCACTCTTTCGAGCATCATTGTGGGAAGGCTCCTTACATTCTTTTTGCGCTACATTTTTACATCGGGCCAAAAACGTGACACTTGACCGGTTATTATCTAAAAAAATGAAAGACGAATACAATTCCCTGTAATGCCGAATTTGAGTGCAGCTCTTGAGGGGTAGGGGAGGGTATCCTCTCCTCCTCCCCTTATTCATCCTCCTCTCTCCCTCCTCCCTTGTGAAGGTCACTGAAGGTCGTGTCCTTCACGAATGACGTCACTCGTGACGTTATTATGGATAACGTGCCATAATGCAACGTGCGGTTACGCCGACGGCGACGCCGGGCGCCGAAGAGCTGCGCTCTAAAAATCATCCCCTTTTTCGCAAATATTTAAAAAATTGGTCTGGCCTTTAATAGTAATTGGCATCAATACTGCAATTTCAACATACTACATGATCCCTAAAACCGATAATTAAAAAGTTAATCGAGGGATTCTAGTTAATTAGTCAACTTACTCCAATGATTATACCCTTGCCCAATGCCCACCGAGCCTGATAAATACATGAAGACAGGACTCGTCTCTCACTCCTCATACAAAAAAAAAAAAAAAAAATATCTGTTATAATTAAAATAAATAGAGAATAATGCTACTTGCACAGGGACTTCATGAACTCCTTCCAGACAACACAAAGTGCCTAAAGCGCGTCTGCGACTGGTATGTAGCGTCTCATGCTGCACGCACAGCAAAAACGGTCCCGAAGTGGCAGCAAATGATGTCACTAAAGCCGGAGAAAAGCCATCGCAGAAGCGCTGGCGGTCGGTCGTAGAAAGGCTGGCAAAAAGCACGAGCAAACGCGAGTGTCGCTGTCGTCGTGGCACGGTTTCATCTCGCGAAGGACGGCATATTCTTTTTATATTTCGGCCTACATCACTTCAAAGATAGTGTCAAATGATGCTTCAATAAATTAGTATCTTCATATATTATCTTATCTTTTGATTGCAGGTGAAATATACCTACCAATTGACTAAAAAAACTTTTTGGCAGATGAGGAACTTGCATACCGTGCCCTACGTACGGCCTTCTACTAGATTATGACTAGACTGCCGAAGCATCCGTAGACCGTCAAACTGGAGAGCGACCTGCAGCAAAAGAGGCATCTGTCATGTCCACCACCACTGCTGTGACGCCGCCGGGATCACGACCGGCAACTCCATAAGACTTCTACAGCGTCATTAGGCGGAAATCGAGGGACCACCTTGTGGACGCGGTGAACACACCCGTCGGAGACAAGTTCCAGGCACAGTGCAAAGCCTACATGTTTGATGAATGCAAAACAGAATGAACAATAGCTGAGCTTTGACACAAGCGCACCAACAAAAATTATATCTGTGGTTCCAAGAGCCCCTTTCCTGATATGGTCTCAGGAAAGCCCAAAGTAGGCACGGAACACCCGATCGACGTCTTGAAATACCTGAAAGCAGGAACAAAATTTATTACGTTTAACATTTGCACGGAGCAATATTTTTGCACTCGCACGCCGGACACAACTTTTTTAAAGAAATTGCTCGGACACCACGTTACAGTGCCCGGCCAGCGTATCTCAAAACAGAAAGGCAAGAAAACAAAAGGCAATAAAGTACTAGCCAAGTGGCCAATATTTGCCATTTGTATTCTGTGCAATGCATGCTCTTTCGTTTCAACTCACAGTGTACTTAATTAACATTAATGAGCTTGTTAAGCATTTGTCCCGGTGTTTGCTGTCTCCTTGTGCGATGTCGTGGGGGATGCATAGTTTCACCATGACTGGGAAACGTGCACAATAATAGCAACAGCAAAATGTTTTTATGCAAGCTCCCAAGGAGCTGAAAATTCTCTTATTAATTTACGTGAGATTAGGCTCTTGAATATCATACATCAAGGGCTTTGCTTTTCAGATATTGTGATAGGACTTCAAAAACAGCTTTTCTGTTGTAACAGAAGCAAGATATAGAATGTGCATTAAGAATTTAAAGCTAACTCGAAAATACTGTTAACAGTGTGCTGTTGAGAGAATCTAATAGTGGTGCACTGTCTCATTGTTACTGCAGGTAGGCACCTTCTTTTATGCACAGACTATACTACAACCCATGGTCACCAAAAACATTTATTTTCCCGGCTCATCATATTTCATCTCGCCTAGATCATCCATGTAAAGTCGAACCCATTTTCTCTAGAACTAACGCCTACAAATACTCACCTCTCTCTCTATGCATATCTGAATGGAATAGCATGCCCTCAAGCCTGGTGACGATATGTGACCATAACCATTTTACGCAGGAGCTTGTTAAGTTGTTTGAGTAATCTCTGTGTAATGATGCTTTCTCATTGTTCTCATTCAATGTTTTCCCCAATTTTTGTGAATTTGATGTACCCCCCTTATGTAATGCCTCCTGTAGAGGCCCTTAAAGGAGCTGTGCAACGATATTCAATTGGAATGTTTTTCTCTCTACACGAGCTTACTGGCACACCTGGGGCTCAAGGATGCTCACACGCAACGCCATTGGCGAAGAAACTCCTTTGTTGCGGTGTAATTTCAAGGACGAAATCGATCATTTTCATTCAATCTCTCCTTTGCGAAATTTGATGACGTCACTCGGGGATCGCAGTACACCCAAGTGACGATATTTGAATGTGGTTCATAGATTGGACCCGAGCATTGCGTGGGCACTCGACTTGAACTCGTGACAATTGCTAGCTCGAAAAGCATTCGGGTTGTGACCTGTGTCCAATCGCTGCCACGACGACAACAGCCGAGCCATAACAATGCCTGGAACTCAGCGCGTGTCCTGCGCTTTGCCAACCCCAGCGCGTGGCTATGATCAACACTGGCGGCATATAATCGGCTCCAGATCACGTGGCCGCTTGTTCTGTCTGCGAGTTGAGGGGGTGAACGCTGCTCGTTTTTCTTAAATTTTTTTCTGGGACTTCTATTGCGTGGGGTAAAAAACGAACGCGTGTTTCATAGGTCATTAACGTTAGGGATTCGTTTTAAGCGGTATTTGCGCAAAGTACAAAAATTGTTGCATAGCTCCTTTAAGGTAATAAAATGAAATGAAAAAAAAAAAAATGAAAAAGACGTCTAGGACAACCTCTAGGACGACATCAAGGTTGTCAGGCCCTTCGAAGAGGGTGCAAATGAGAAGGAGTTTGAGATTATGAGCTGATGGACTACTGTGCATACCTACTGTGCATTAGGAGGCCAGAAAGTCCAAGAAATATTGGGGGGGGGGGGGGGCAGTTAAAGTATGCCATCGCATTAAAAGGACGCGAGTGCGCACTGGTTCTCAGCAGCAGGCACGGCGCGCAATCAGGGAGCATGACGATGCAAATCGGTCGGCGCTCCGGTGTTATCTGTGTGACATCACTTCCCTGACCAAGTTTTCGTGACGTTCAATCTCCCAACTTTGCACCTCCTTCCAAGCGCGGAGAAAGACATAGTTCTACGTCAAAAAGCAAAAGTCAGCGATGGAAGTGCCATTTGACCTTTTGGAGCAGGCCTTGTAGCAGGCAAAATGTTGTTTTGGAGCAGGTGGTGGCCCTTTTGGAGCAGGGTCCGGCATATGTTGGCATATTACTTGAAAATGAAATCATGCTAAATTGCTATATAAAGCCCATCTCTATTATTGGAACACAGCGCCTGTCGCCTTTTAAGACAGGATATATAAAATTCAACAAAGTAAACACAAAAAAAAAAAAAAAATTTTTTTTTAAATAAAGTTTATCTGCTCGTCAGATAACAAAATACAATTAAATATGTCACACTGAGTTCTGATGGTACAGGATATTTATTTTTATCAGCCTGCACTTCTTTTAAGGTATCTGCAGCAGCATCTAACGACCCTCACTGTTGTGGAATGTTTTAGTTCAGATTAGAGTTGTCTTTCGGGCAACAGCTTCAAATATTGCGGTATCTGATATTCGCTTCAAAAATTCCGATTTATTTTCGATGCGCTGGCGAAGTCACGATCGCATCGGATCACGGCGAGTTAACCCGTCGAGTACGCACCTTGGCATGCACCGACGCGCTGCAGAGAAGCGACACCCACGGAGCAGACACCGCAGTCGCGCGAGTCGCGCAGTGTTTTGTGCTCCGAAAAGGACGGTGAGGCGTTACCAGCACTACATCCAAAGTTTGGTGCAACTCAACTATACTTTGTTTGAGCTTCGGTGCGAGCGCAGCCGAAGCTACAAGCGCGCGCATGGAGCCCTAACGGTGCCCACACTGCACGAGCCCACGCGCGAGTCAGAAATGCACAGAGTAATGGGCTCGCGCTAGCTTTGACCTCGCTGATAGCTAGCGCATGGGAACAGGGCGGGCCAACATTGAAAACATCCACAAGCTCTGCCTTTTTTTTTCTTCTTATAAATAGGCTGTTAAGTGGGATGGTTCTTCACTTAGCCTCTGCGGCTTTGGTCTCAGATGTTGCAAACGTTGTTCCTTTCAATGATGATGATGATAATGCGCCATCGCAGTTTCGGTTTGCGTAACAGTTGCGGCGCGGAAAATACCGCGGTACCACCACGCGCTCTGATAAGACTTCAATTTTTATTTTTTATTGCTACATCTCATCTCGGCGCAGGCATGGCGCAATTCTTCGGTAAAATGACAATTTGGCGCTACATGTAGCAGGATTGCGTCCTTGGCGCAATTTGGCGCAATTGGCGCAGCACTTCCATCACTGAAAAGTGTTCTGCCAGTTACTAATACAAACTCTCCTCAATGCCCTAGAGTTTTAGCAATTTATTAAGTTTTAAAAGAGGGAAAAAACTAAATGATAGCAAATTTTATTTCATTTTTTTTTTAAATATTTCTTACCCTTGGGTTTTTAACTGGTATGGGGAATAAAAGCTAGCATAAATATACAAAACATATTATCAGCAATTCAATACGGTCTGTCTACAACATTTCAGTAAATATTAGTTTGAATAGTTGAACCACGTAAGTGATACCAAGTACAGACATGCACTAGATGATAAAAACGGGCAATTTATATCTTGAAAAGCTTAATGTGTGGACAATCTTAAATTTATTAGTAGTAAAACAAAAGCTATAGTTTGTAGATTGAAGGGTGTGAAGTTTTGGGATAATCTGGTCCTCTCCTTGAGTTCAAGTGGTATTATGGAAATTGTCCAAAATGTCAAGCTGCTTGGTGTAATATTTAATGAATACATGCAATAGGATCATAAGGTCCCAATGATTGCTTAGAAAAAATCTCAAAAGTAGTAGGAATAATTTATAAGTACAAAAAACAACATTATCTCCCTCTATTCTACGACTTTTGAACAACTCTTTATTCTATGCTTGTTTTAATTCCTTTTTTGGTCTGGTGAAAAACAACTATTACAAATATTGCAGAAAAAAGCCATTTTCATTGTGGGCAATGCAAAGTATGACAGCCACACGGCACTAATATAAAAAAAATTTAGGTATTGTTTCAGTAACAATTTTTTTTTATTGCAACAGCCTACAAAACAGCTTTGAGTAATCTGAACAGTAATTTCATCACTCGTTCTTCTCTTCCCATCATTTGTATTTCATACGCCATGCCCGTACTTGAACGGTCCCCCACAACAGGACCAACGTTGGGTATCAGCTCCCCAAAATACTAAATTTTATTTTTTCACAAGGAGTTGATATTGAAAGTGTTGCTCGGAAAAATATACGCTTGTTGCTTGTCTCGCCGAGCTAGTTATGACAATGTTTTTACTGTGTGTATAATTTTTTTTTCTGTCTAGTTGTGGTTTTTTTGTGTGACTGAAGTGCTGTGTTGTAGGTGAAGGAGGGGACTCCGTCAAGCAGTTCTTGTACTGCTTTTTTCCCTCTCCTCTTGTATAAAGAAACAAATAAAATTAAACTGAATATCAAACATTTCCCCCTATTCTCAAAAAAAAAGTGTACATTTTATGACAACTTCTGTCACAACCAATGACAAAAGCAACTTAACATAAAATACCGGGCAAGCTCTCACTCAAAATTGGGAGATAATCGTGAAAAAATGGGGGATGGGTACTCGTCCGGTTGTCAATTTTACATATCCAGGGTGTCTAGCAAATTATTATTTTGAAATTCCCTGACTTTTCCAGGTTTTCCCTGACAATGGCAAGTGAAATTCCCTGACCGCTGTAGAGGCGGTTTAATATACCAGACCATTACAACACAAGTCATTGAGCATTGAGCACTGCACGGATTAAACGGGCACTTTCTTGCCGCCGACATCGTCAGTGAAGAGGCCGCTTCTGAAACACGATGAAAACACGACGCTCAACTACATACGTCAATAACCGAATGGCAGCATGGCCGCCAGATGCACACTTTCAGCTTAAGGATTGGATTGGATTGGGGTCTGCGGCTTTTCCATTTGTGACTAAATCTAGTAGCTCTAACTGGATCTAGCTTAGTGTCGCGCCCTCAATGCACTCCAAGGCTTGGGCTGGATTTGTCGGCTGTTCCATTTGGATCAGACAGCACATTTTACATCGGGTGTGCAGAGCCCGTGCTTCGCTCGAAGCAGAATTTATTGCCTATTTTTCTGCCCCCAAGTCCTCAAGTCTTTGCTCAGGGCACTCAATGGCATTTCCGGCTATTTTCCCTGACTGAGCTCGCTTTTTGATATTTTCCCTGATAATTCCCTGATTTTTCCCGGTAGTTAAAATTTCCCTGACAATTCCCGGTTTCCCGGTCGCTAGAGACCGATATCAATGTAATTCATGCATTTTCTCAGATCTCACAAATTTGGAAATGGGCAGATGTGCAGTAATCCACGGTATGGCAAAACGTTTAAACAATTAAAGCTCCCCATTACTGCATTTAGGAAACAGATTAAAAAGTATTTAAATCTATCCTACATGCAACCAAAATAACTTGTTCAAATTCATCTATAGTCAGTCAGTGCAATTTTATGCAGAAAATTATTTCAGTCTCTGATATAGGTAGTTCTAGGAAAAAACAAGTATTTAAGGAAAGCAATGTAACATTTCTGGAAGTTCAAATGAATGTTTCTTAGTTCCCTTGAAGCATGTGGTTTTAATTTAGAATGTGCATAAATATTGTACGTATAAGTAATTAGAAATCTGTCATGTACCTATGCAAATTCGCACCCAAAACTTTTGATGTTTGAGGCTACGCGCTTCGAATCTAAAGTTACCAAACTAGCTTAATATGAAGTATAAGACAATTGGCTGCTGCTGCTATAGGCATGGTAGAGTTGGGGCCGGTGGCAATCAGGTTGTCGAACGACGTTCCACTGACAGATCAATTTGTCGACAGCGAGACGTTTCACTGACCCACCGTGCGACGTTTCGTCGAAAGCGTTTTTCCAGGCATATCGCCTCAGTCACAGGCATTCGGATGATAGCCTAATTCGCCGAACCTTTGGTGGCTTCGATGATTATAATAAAGCTTTCCCGAGCAAAGCCAAGCGAGAGGTGACCGTACTATGGGCGGTCTGTTTGGAAGCCTAGGGTTAGGGCTTGTGAGGTTGTATTTGCCCTATCAGAGGCGCCTTGGTGAGTTCACTTCAATTCCGATTTGTTCCCAGCAGACAAAATGAAGCCAGTAATCCAAATATATCCACTTAGTAAAAACCAAATTTTGTTGTTGACGAAACGTCGCAGAAGTGTGTCCACAAAAGGAGTTTCCATGAAGCATCGCAGCGCCGACGAAACGTGTCCATGAGAAGTTGTCCATGAAATGTGTTTCAGCACAGATTTGTTTTGGCGACACACGTGTACTATGCCAAAAACATTGGTTCAGTGCAGCTGTGCTCGTCCTGCGGCTTAACTAAGACCCTAGCTTTTGTTTGACTGAGACTAACTAGTATTTCCGCAAGAACCTTGAAATAAAGTGTGTTATATGACACACCTTTTTGGTTGAAGAATCAGATCCTGGGAGAAGCACCGTCATTTCTCATATATCAATTTTCACATTTAGCTCTAGATGTGCCCCCAAACAAGTATTTCACAGCTTGAGCATTGACATTCTTTTATTAATCTTGCACATCTAATTTTATTCTTATTGCACATCATCAATTGTATGGTAGCTTGAAAGTAGGAAGGCGGTCACTTCTACCAAAACTGACTCTGTTAAATCTTGTCAAAACTCGTAACTGTCTCAACTGCTCCTTAAAAATAAAATAAAAAAGACCTGCATGGAAAGAATTGTATAGTGAAGGCCCTTACTGTATCCTAAATTATATGTGAGTGCCTCTAATCAAGGTATTTTTGACTGTTGTGTTTCCTGTGCAGCTCTTAATCTTCAGATGGCATCACTGTTTCCTTTTCTGCCTTTGCATCACTAGCTTGTAGCTACATTTTTGTCTTTGGGGAGTGCCGATTGTGGCGTCTAAGATTTTCCTTTCCTGTCATTGTTGAAGCCTCCTTGGTTTATGTAAGCATTAATCTGTAAAGTGTGTAAAAGAAATAATGAATAAAAGCATTGTATTGTTCCCCCGCTTGTAACAGATTGGCAGACTGTCATCGGCTGGGACAGTGTCTACGAATTTGATGCGAAGGCAAACACACTCGCATAAACTAAAAGAAAGGAAGACAGAAGAAAACAAACCCACTGCATCAGGGTTACTTGCTCTTGAGTCCACCCTCACAACGGCGTTGGTACCGTAAAAGTGGTTGATCACTCTCATTGTTTGTGTCATGAACCGTTGCTGCCTGAGAAGTGGAGAGAATGCACTCTTTTAGAACTTGGCTACACTTAACGTCGTTCAAAAATTGATCACGGAGGTTTCGAAGTAGAGAAGTATTGAGCGAATATTCTAATTTTCGAATAGTAGCTTTAAATAATATGACACTCGATATATGCCTCGAGATGAACTGCAATGCTGATACTTTTTTTTTTCAAATAGTAGATCACGGCAGGTTAGTCCCACTGAGTGCACTTCTTACCGAGCACCGGTGCGCTGTGGAGAAGCAACACCCACGAGCTTCTCGTGCGTGTCCGACAGTCGACTTCACTACCGGGACGACGACCCATTCGTAACAGCATATAACTATTCTTGCATTACTAGGTATCCTCGCTAAGTCTCGAATTGGAAGAAGGTACTGCCAGGCTCTCGCAGTCTATCCTGTATGCAAGCCGAAGTTCTATTAAAAAATTGTTGCTTCTCACCTTGAAAGAGTGCTTCCCCTTAGTATGCAGGTGCGCTGAAGCGAAGCAAGGCACGCAAAATTGCTATGGCTACCCCGCAGTTGTCATTTCTCTGCCGTATACCAGTGCGCGGTGAGAAGCGTGCTCAACGAAACTAACCCACCAGAACAGACCACAAATATGAGAATGATTGCAAAACTTCAGAGTACTATCAGTCATTGATATGAAATGCAATCAAATTATTTAAGGTGACAATCAAAAGTTCTGAAAACTCTCATAAGCCTATTGTAATGATCCGGCTAGGTAGAGGTTTGCACCATTATATATTCGGCATTATTAAAATGAAATTAAGTTTTGGCGCAATGTCACTGCAAATCCCTTATATTTTGGTAACATGTAGCGGATGTAGCAGTGCAAGCACATTGGCGCACCAATTACATTACTGCATATAGCAAGAATCTAGCTCCTCGATTAGGCATAGATGGGCATTTACATAGGATAAATTTTATCCATCATTTACTTTCCACCCAATGTGGGTGTTGTATTTATTCATTTCTTTTAAAATCTTCCGCAGGCAGTTGTCACCGGTTATTATCCGAGTAGCGAGCGTGCTGCCACCGACATCTCGAAACGCCTTGTGGAATTTCACATCGCAAAATGTTGTTTAATTTTTTTTTTACTTACGCGCGAGTGCCATTGCACGAATGTAGAGAAGGAAACTTCTAAAATCCCACAATGAGAGTTGTCTACGTTTCTTGGTCCGACTTCGATTCAAAGGAAAACAAAGGTATTTTCTCTACAGAGAAAAAAGTAAGTGTTGAACTTTCCGAGGCCACAGTTCGTAAATATAGTTGCCTAGACAGAAATTAGTGGAAGCATGGGATCAACCTTCACAAGTTCAGCTGGGTTTTCATTTAAGCATGATGCAAATATTGAATGTTGAATAGAAAAATATTGAAATATTGAATGTTGAATAGAAAAACTATTCAACATTCAATAAATAATAATTTGATCAAAAACCACTTTTCGCTTAGAATTCGCTGCAAACTCAAAAAATCCACCATTCAAACATGCCTAGCCATTTCACTTCCATTTGCCTACATTCATGTTTATTCCATAAAATTAATTCTCCCAATCCCATCTTACGCGATCAAATGATAACACAAATTTTTTGTCTCCTCTTGTGTTTATCACAGGGGTGGATGCAGGTATTTCTAAAGAGGGGGGGGTCAGCATATCATGTTTGAAAACATCCCCCCCCCCCCCCCCCCCCCCATTTCCCCACCCTAATTTTTACACATGCAGAATTCAAAAGGGGGGGTCAGGACATCCGGACCCGACCCGACCCGACCCCCTGAATCCACCACTGAATCATCAGCATAAAGCTGAAGTTCCAAACTCATTACATTTGACTCATTCTTACTTTCTTGCACAATACGGGAATGGAACCACCTCTCCAGTTTGATTGCTACCATCTCTGAAGCTAACCTGTTCCGAAATGCTATCGCTATCCATTCTTGCAATAGTTCATGATCTGATCGATTGTTTCTTTGTTGTTAGATTAAAATTGTTCATTTGTTACAGTTTTAATACCTCTTTTCTCGTTTTTGCTCTCCCCCTTTCCTTCGGGCATTGAGGGTATATTCAATAAATAAATATAGTAACAGTCGAGAACTTACTGTTTTCGACAAATACCAAGCCAGCACAAAGTATGAAGACTGGAGACGAGAGGATGTCCCCAACCTTAAAATCTCTGACAAAATATGGATGGTCATTGATTTTCGTCAAATTTTCGCCACACACTAAATAAATACTCCTGGTCCCCAGTGTGTCTATAAAATATCTCAAACAAAATAACCACTTTTCTTTGAGAAAGCTAATTTTGAAATTTACGCACACAGCTCCAAATCGCTGCGTGCCTCTCTACTGGCAACAACAAACAGGGGCACTCGTGAAGTCAAATGTATCGGAAAGCAGACGATGCTCTGTCCTTTATGGCGTCGTGTGGATTGTGTCTGGTTTAGGCTAAACAAGGCTAAAGGTGGGCACAAAGAGACAACGACTGAGAAGAGAAACACGTAGACACCAGACAAGCGCATCTACGGGTATGCGTTTCTCTTCTTTGTCTTTTTGTGCACGTCTTGAACTATGTTTAATCAGTACCAACTTGCCCAACTGACCGCCCTACTACGGTTTACGATATTTGCGGCATGTGATGGAGGATGGGGAGAATGGGTGATATGCTGTGGGGTGCAACAACATGACGAAGAAATCCGGCAGAGCAACATCTCATCGGTTTCATGAAAGCGTTGAAGTGGAGAAATCTCTGGCGCCGTGCTCAAGTTACGTTCTGAACTGAAATAGCGCGCGCCAGTGAGCCAACGGGCACAAAGCGCTTCTTTTTTTTTCTTTCCTCAGTTGCATTGTCTGGACGGCGGAGACACCATCGCTTGAGGGTACTAAGCCACCCTCAAATGGAACTTTTTCTGGTCGTTGCGTCGCAGCGTTTGCCGTAATGCACGTCCTCATCTATATATCTTACACCGTGTTCTGGGCTGTTTCTTGCGCTCTTTCAGGAAATGTGTTTGGCTAAAAACGTTCAAGCTGATGCCAGAGCTCCCCTTTAGCGTGGAACTAAACCACTTTCTGCAGCAGTCTATTTATGGTCATAACTCAATCTATGGGCTCTAAGCACCCTAAAAACAACAAAAAACATTGTAAGCAGTGAGAGAGTGCAGGCGAGCTAGTAATTAATCGACATCTTGTAGACCCTGAGATGGGGAGATTGAGATTTTGTTGTGTTCGTCCGGTTTTTTTTATCGTTCTCCATCTCAGGGCTTACAAGATGTCGCAAAAACATTACATCCATGCATGGTCGATTCCTTTGTTAAAACAACCTCGAAACTACTATAGACACTGGAGAATGCCGTTGGACACAAAGCCCTTCTCCCCGTCCAATGGCTCCTTCCTGTGTCTGCGATAGTTCCAAGGTATTCAATTTTTGGCAACGACTTCAATAGAAAAATTGGCCAAGCATGAATGCAGTGTTTGCTTTATTAGGATGCTTAGAGCCCATAGATTGAGATAGACTATCGCAGAAAGTGGTTCAGTGCACCTTTAAAGCTGCAGACTACTCGTACATGATACAAAAGACACGAGTGTTCGGTGCACACATGACGACAGAATTACGTGCAGACTTGCCTTATGCATGTTTCCTTCGTACATAGTATGTATACTTTGAAGTTGCAAAAACTTTTTGTATAACCAATGAGACAAGACTGGCCTACATGAAAAAAGCAGATCTCAGACAGTGAGACTGCCTTTTGTATGAGGTACCAACAGCGTGACAGCAGCCTAAGGCTAGAAAGTCAGGAACGAAATGAGCTTCCAAGTTTCGTGGCACCTCGAGGGATACAAACCTCTCCGAAAAAGTGATGGAGCGATCGTCGGGCCTACCACTGCCTTGCTCTGCACGTCTGACAATGCGCATCCTGCAGATCTCGCCCGGGCAATCCAGAAAGAGGACAAACTTGAGGGGGAACCTGTCAGCCATGTCTGCATTCCAGCCCTTCAGGAGGTCGAGGCTTCTCGGAAACCCATCCAGAAGGAAAGTGTCGGCTTTGCTTTGTGCAATTGCCTACACAAAAAAAAAAAAAAAAAATAAACATTTCTTTGTATTGAAAGTGTGCTACGATTAGAATATTTTAGTTTGTATACGTCACTAACCCCTGAACGCAATCAAGGACACACTTTTGTGCCATAGGCACTTAGGGGTAAGCAAAACTTAAATGTGATTTCTATGGCAACCTTTTTTTTTATACAGGTAAGACACTTCAATCTGCAAGAAGTCAATCCCGTCCTGCCACCAGGTTCTAACGCACAAATTTCAGGACAAAGTCAAACACCAAAGAATAATAATAATAATAATAATAATTGATTGGTATGAACATGGTCCATGTTTAGATAAAGGGCTGAAATCGAAGCTGACGAGAGGTTTGTGGGACACCATATTGGCAAAGAGATGTTTTTGTTGCGCCACCTTGTGGGCGCCCTCCTGCAACGCAGCTGATAGGATGTGAGCGGACGAAGCGCTATGTCAAAGCACAGAGCGGCTATGTTAGTTCTCGCATCTGTGCCGATTAAAAATGGTTTATTTATTCAAAGAACGCATACTATAATGTTTCTGTGAGTGATCTTCCTTATGAATAGGGTTCGGGATTTTCGGTTTAAACCGACAAAAGTACGTCGAATTCATTTTCTAAAATTCAGTTTTAACCGGAAAAGGTCACTTTGACCTTCCAGTCGTACCGCAGAGACGTGGCAAAAAAAAAAAAAGTGGAACGAAAGTGTCTATCGGAGCGTGTCCGAATGTATGGGATACACGGATGCCATCACGACGTTCTGGTTTAATGTGCGCATCATCGATCGGAACGTGATGTCCGAAATGCGTAATGACTTCGCCATGTACGAGCGTGTTTTCAAACTCGTTGTAAGGAAGACTGACTTCGTGGAAGTTCTGCATATTGTGTTGCACTTCAGAACGTCGCACCGTGTCTCTTTTGGCAGTCACAATTGGTTGATTGGCCGATTTTGGCTCAGGCAGTGCTTCATCTCATCAGCCTGCCTGTGTCCAGTGTTAGCATTGAGTGGGCATTCCCAAAGCTCAGGGTCATATTAACAGGAAACAAGAGTCCGGATCAATGAGGAGAACCTGGAAAAGCTAAAGTACACGTGTGTGCACTATAATAAGATCACATAGTCCTGATGCACAGAATTCGAAGTTCCATGTTTTTTTTTGGCATAGGCTTTGTATCTGACTTGTTTGTACTTCTGAGTTTTTTTTTTGTTTTTTTTTCTTATTTCTTTTATAGTTGCACACACTTGCCAAATAAAGTGTCCATTTATTTTTCAGTGTATCGGTGCCGTTATTCTTTGAATCATCACAAATATCAGAGCTACAAGGATCATCTGATCCAGTGTCGAATGGTGTTTATTTTATATTCACCGAAAAAAGCCAATAAACTTTTGTGGGCATAAATATATGCCGAAAAAAACCGAAAATTCATTTTTAAAATAAACACCGAAAAAAGTATGCCGAATTTTGAAAAAATAGAAACCGAAAACGCGGAAACCTACTTATGAATAACACCGCCTTGCAGTTGCCTTTAATATTAGAAACTTTAAGATGTTCAAAAAGAAGCCTGGAGCTTCGCATTACAGCTTGCGCGGCATGCTTCAAAGCTATTCACAGCCTCTCTGATTCTTGTTTTTTCGTATCTGTGGAAGCTGCTGTAGAAAGAGGTTTTTCATACATCAGAGTAAATGACATGTTGTATTCTTAGCTCTGCACGCACGCACATTTGTGTTGAAAAGCGCTGCACACTTGCTTTAGCTACATTGAGCTTGCCAATACTGACGCTTCTATCCAAGTGTGACTCGGCACTTGCTGCTGAGCAAATGCTCGTCAGCAACTGATGCTCAGCTTCTCCCGAAACAAATACGCGGCAAAGAAGTTTGTCACATTGTGACTTCTGCTCGAAAGAAAAACATAAATTTTCATGAATTCTTCATTTGTCGGCCATGGCCCGGCAAATTCAGATAATTAATTTGTTCTATCCTGTTTTTACTAAAAATTGTTTACAAATTTAAAATCACTTGCTGAGAAGTGCATCACACATTATGCACATTTTGGTCAACAAAAATTACACACAAACTGTAGTAACTCATAGCAGGTGTAGTCCCCTTTCTTCGGGACATCTTCATGTTTCGTTTTGCATGTTTCGCGTGGACCGGGTGAAGAAGCACGGATTTAGTTGAAATGACTCCAAAAGCCAGCCACCACTTCTTCCTGTCAGTTATTTTGAGGAAATGTTTGTTTACTAGTTTACAAAATTAAAAAAGGAACTCAGAACTGTTAAGAGACCAGCACTTACAGAACACATTGGAACAAACAGGATACACAAAGTTGCTTTCACTGAAGTGTTTACTATACACATAAAGTTCTTAAATTTCGCTTCCTGGTATCCAATTTGATAAGACATTCCTTTTAGTTTTATTTTGTTCGAATCATAATAAAAAAATACCCTATTTGCCATGGTAGATGTTGCAGTGAGATAAAGTGCTGGACATTCTATTTTCATCATCCAGCTTTTTGTACTGGGGTAGAGTGTAGTACACCACCATCCGAGTGCTTTGACACCTCAGCGCCAAAAGTGTTTGTCGGCACACAAATACGCGTGTCACGTGCGGTTTCAAACTTTGATCAAATGTCCAACTAAAAATATCACTTTACCAAATAAACATAACCCGTGAAATGCTTCGCCGTTCATTACCCAAACAGCGAATGAAGCTAGCTGACCAGCCGAGGGATTGAAGATCTGCGCGACCCGTGATGTCAAAAATGATGATGACGAAAGCTAGAGAAGCGCCACCTGTAGTTCACACGAGCCGCCAATACCCTCTAGTGACAAATACAACATGCTAATTGCTCAGAAAATAATAAAAATAAAAAAATAAAGCAAACGTTTATGCAAATCACTTACAGCATACTAATTAAATAATAAACCTACGCAAAAGAAAGTTTCAGATTAAAGGACGAAGGAATAAAGCTTCCAATAAAAAAAGAAAATAGGAGATTCGGCAACACTGACCAAAAAGCAATACAAAAACTAATAGCGAGTTTGTTTCACACGCACTGGCACCGTTCGAGTTCTCTTCCAGAATGCATCGCACTCGCAGAGTGCTGCACGGAAAACTGGAGTCAAACGAACTCGCCCAATGCACCGAGTGCAAAAGACTGATGTTGCTGCCATCTACGTTGTAGAAAGAGTATTGACCTCAAACCGAAACTAGCGCCTTTCTGTTCGGAGTGATGGGTGGGAATGCGGGAGTGCAGTCACTACCAACGTTTATCTCCAAACGTTGAACACTGCAACCTGTGGTTTATAGTTGCGATAATTTCAAGCAACTCGGCTGCCGTAAAGAGACTTACAGACGGCGTAAATTTCCGCATCCAGCTGTCTACAAAGCAGCTGGTTGCGATCTTTCAATTCTGATTACCGTTTACACTGAAGAAAACTGATGATGCTGTCCAAGCAGAAGCTTGATCCGTTCGAGCATGGTATTATGCGTGAACCACTGAAAGGGTATGGCTTAAAACTAGTCTGTTGGAATATCCAGCAAAACTTTTCGTGGGACTTTCGATTTCGATCGTAATTACAGGTGGATCCGATATTAGTCTTGGTGAGGACGGCGAGAACGAGAGCTTTCTCGAACAAAATACGACGGGGAAAGTTAGCTGACGTAGGTAAATGTTAAACATGATGATGTTGCCCAAGCCTCGAGTAAAGTCACTATGTTTAGCTTTCTCGTATGCTTATTGGGCAGTCAGAGGTTTCAGCTGGGGGAGTTCTGTCGACAAATGTTCAATTTTTCACCTGCATACGGATGGGGATAAACATCTCGGGGGCCGCTGACGCGTTTGTTCTGAGCATTTCTTGACACAGTGGTACATTTCAGCGCCTGTACGGCAACAGAGCGACTTAAAACCTGCAAATAAAGCACGGGTTGTTAATTGCTTCTTTCATCAGATAGCAGACGCTCACAATCCAAGCTCGCGCTTCATTATGTTGCCCGCGGGACGCGATTTCTATCAGAAAATCTACTTTTATTTTTCTTTTCGGTTCCGCGACACATCGTAGCAGACGAACCCTCCGTCGTCTGCTCCCGCTCCTCGCCAGTCTCGCCGGAGCGAGGCATGACCGGATTGCATTTTGGCGCACGCCCGTTTTTCTCGGTGCAGCGAGTGCATGCACGCGTGGGGTGCCGCCGCTAAAACGAACTTGGAGAGTGCAACCATTCGTGGAGTGCCTGCCGAAACGAACTCGCTTTACGCCGCGAAAGGGAACGCGTGAACACGAGTGCCGTGAAACGAACTCGTTATAAGAAAAGTTATACGATAATATAACTTCACCCTTTCCGAACACGACGCGAAAGTCGAGATCGAGCGCGCCACCCCGTCACAACAAAACGTCCTAGCTCACACATTTGAGCAGCTCCAATGTGATCTCCGGTGGCACGTGTTTGCCCAGGATTCGGATGACAGGCCCGTAGACCGATCCCACGGTTCCTTCCTCTCGCCTCAACAGGTCTCCGACGGAGACGTGCTCGAAGCCGTACTTCTGCGCGCAAAAGAGAAACGGAAACACGGATATCACTGGCGTCTCTAAATTGCAGAAGTCCAAACGACGCCAAAGTAACCTGAGCAAGTCGTCGGCACATTGTTCCTTTTCCGGCGCCGGGCGAGCCGAGAACGAAGACCACGTTCCGCCGTCTTTCCAACTCTTCCATAGCGAGTTCCGAGTCAAAAGGGTGGTTTTTCTTATTCTAATAAGAGTTCTTCCGTATTAGGGGTTGAGTTTTTACTCACACGTACAGCTTACAGTGCTCCAGGATCGAAGAGATGAACAGCCAAAGCGCGCAACTTAAACCAAAACACCCGAAGCCATAGGAAGCGTCCGAAACTTGGCGCTCTTCTGCGGATCCTGCCCTTCGCGGCGCGTCAGCAGCGTCGGCGCGTCGGCGTCGACGCGCGCGCCGAACTAGCGCGACCGGCGCGACGCCGCGAAGCGTTTTTGCACTGCCGCTGTGCTTCCGCCGCCGCGGCGGCATGTGAGTAGTGTGCCTACATTTAAGAGTGTTTCCAACTGCATTGAATTCGACTCCGCCTCTCCACCCGCGTTCTTTCTCACTACGCGACAACAAAACGCATGTGCACTTGCGATTAATCCGTGCGAGAGGTGTCAGCGGTGGCCGGGTGCTGACGTTCCGTTACTATAATGCGACGTTGATTTGAAAAGAAAATGAAATAACGTTTATTACACAAGATTAACTTCTGATTACATGGAGAGGTCTCGTTCACGTGCGTTCCGTAACGTGCCTCCGGTCGTTCTCTCGGGCTGTTTCTTCCCACGCAGGCAGAAGCGGTGTCTTCTTCCCATACCATCTATAAAACTTTGCCCAGGCAGGTGCTATGGGCAAAGTTCAGCTCTCGCTCTCGCGAAGCGTAAACAAGCTGGGCCCGCTACCCCGTGCGCTCGCACCGCGCGCTCGCAAAAAGTCACGTATTGAGGAATTGAGGATCCATTACAGATCCCGCCGAGGCAAGACTAACAAGCAGACAAACGAGCTGGGCCAAGTCAACAGAGGCAACGGCAAGAGGTTTGGCAAGAGGCGTCTGCTGTTCAATTGCAAATGCTGTTAATGATTTCATTACTCCCCCGCTTATAGCTAGGCTACATTTGAGTGATATACATTTTAATAACTGTATGATTTTAGTGCATAGACCGATAGACTTAGATGTCTTCATGGGCAAAAAAGGGTGGCTGCTTGCACCACCTCCCAGTATTTGACGGAAGCGCTTTTTTGTAACCGAGACTTTGCACCTTCCGCCAAACGGATCAACGGGAAATGACTAACACCCCTGTCAGACGGCGTTCTGAAGATCCTTTTCACTAAGCTCCTTTATAAAATCGGCGAACCAGCGCACGCCGTAGCGCACGTGCGCTACGGCGTGCGCTGGTTCGCCAATTTAATAAAGGAGCTTAGTGAAAAGGATCTAGAACGCCGTCTGACAGGGGTATAAAGGCAGTATTTTTTCATCCCTCCACTTCACCGCCAATCAGATACCCTCTGCTTGGTTTTCTGCACCTTCCCAAGGTATATTTTCCCTCCGCTGTGCCGAGGATTTATGAAAAATAAGCTCCGATAAACACCGAATTTTGCTAAAAAGTAAAACTCAGAAAAACACCCTCTGAATTTCACGAAAAATAAACTCCGAAAACACGGAGCCCTAATTATAGGCCAGGTGTGGTCAGAGAGACATAGGGGTTAGAACCATAATAAGAAACAGCGCAAAAGGGACAGGACACAAAGTAGAAGAAGGACACAGGACATACGCTAACAACCTAACAACCAAAGGTTTACTATAACTTCCACGCGCGCACAGTGGCAAGCACAAGCTCTTCCTTTCTCTTTCAAAAGAGATAAATGCCAATAAAAAAAGAAACAGCGGCACTAGACGGACGTAGTAAAACGCGTGACCAGAATAACTATTAAAAAATATTAAAATTCTGACAGCGGCACGGGAAAACCATAAGGTCATGCGCTGCGTACACTCCACGTTCGCACCACGCGCACACCGCGTTCAGGACACAAATTAGACCTTTACAGCTCGCGTGTACAGTATACTAAGGGTGGTCACAATTGAGAAATTGTAATGCCCTGTAGGTCAGATGCACTGGCGCGACACTATAATGCAGTGATCTGGTCCACAGGCAAGTATACGCGCCGCTTCCACGATTTCTCTCCAACTTGCCCCTCATGCGTCCCACCACCTTTGTGTTGTCCAGCGCTGGAGAACACCCACAATCCCTGGAGTGTATTGGGGAGGAGATCGAACAGTCAGCCTCTAGCGGTAAGCTTCAGTTGTGGGGACAACAAACCGTATTTTCTTGTTTGTTTTCGACCTGAGAAATAGAAGATGATGATTCGAAGGCCACTCCTCGTGCGACTGAAGCAGAGGTCAGAGCGAAGCGCTCGTGGCCAGACCGTGCTACGCGAGATTCAATTTCTTTGTTATGCTGTGTTAGTAAACACCGGGCTGTGGGGACAACAAGCTAGATAAAGCGCCCTCTATAGTTTGATCTCCTGCCCAATGGGAACCGTGACCACTGCCGAGCGAGGCCGCGTGCTCACGCAGCCTATCGTTGAAACAGCGACCAGTCTGTCCCAAAGAGACTCTACCACAGCCGAGAGGGATCTCGGCTGTGGTAGAGGCATGCGTCGTGTCACAGGGGCCGTTCCTAGGTTTGGTTCCGCTTGACAATGCGCAGAGTTGTGATAGTTTGCAGGGAACCGTAAAGACAACGTCAACGTTGAACTTCGCTCCTACACGTTTCAGATTGTGATAGATCTTGTGAACGTAGGGTAGCACTTCGAACTTCTTTGACCTTTTCCTAGTTTCCGTGTCAGGACTTTTCATCAGGGATTCGGCCACTCCTCTCGCCAGAAAAGGAGGGAAACCCGAATGTTCAAGGCGATGTAGCTGAAGGTCAAAGCTTTCCCGTACGGCATGAAGATGCTACTTTTGTAAAGCCGAGATAGGTTGGCGATACCCCTTTTGACTAATTTAGAGTGCGCCGGGTCGAATGGTAATATTGCCTTTTTGGTTCGCGGCGAGTACATCCAACAGATGTGGTCGGAACCATTGAAGGTCAAACGTAAGTCCAAGATCTGCAATGCACTGTCCGCTGGCAACTCGATCGTGAAACGTAAGTGGCTCGAGCACCCTTCAATAACTTGTCGGACAGACTGGGTGACAGAGTCCAGGCGGGTTTGAGGGGGTACGCTAACGAAAACGACAAAGTCATCCACATATCTACAGATCTTGACAACAGGGACGTCAGTCAAAGCCTGTGAAACGGTAAAGTCAAACTTCGCGAGATAGATTTCGCACGGTACCGGTGCAACACTGGATCCGATACAAATCCGGCGTCTCTGCAAGTAAACCTTGTCTTTGTAACAGACGAGGGTGGAGTTTAGGTAGCAGGTAAGCACCTCCAAAAAGGGGGTTAAAGCCACAGACAAAAGTTAAAAAGTCGCAGGAAAAAAAAAAAAAAGAAGAGGGGGGGGGGGGGCTACTATTAGCAAGAAAAGGTATGGAGGGAACAGTCCTTTCCGAAGGGACCACATATAACACCAGACAGCAGAACGTTTCTTCAGCAGCAAAAATGAATGCATGGTTCGCTGCCAGCCACTGCGCTTGACGCCCGTTATGCGTATAGGGTTCGAAATTCGTTCCAGAGCAATAAAGTGTTAAAATCACATACAGCAGTGCGTCTCATTTTTTCTTTGTGAATGTGTTCCGACCCCGTGGCCATGAAGAAGGGGACGGCAACCCAGACCACTCCGACGAGGGGCCAGCTGTGTTCATACCTCTGGCAAGGAGGCGTGCTCAGACAGGAGAGGAGGACACGCTGAGCGCCTGCTGCCGCAGGGCCTCGACCTCCTCCGTGCTCTCGGCGCCGCCCGGGGGGTGAGAGAGAGAGAAAAAAAAAACTTTATTGAAAGAGGACACTAAATAGACGATCGCGTCGGAAACCTTTCAATGTTCAAGTTCAAGTGTTCATTGCCCTCAAGGGAATTCTCGCGGAATGCATTATATGAGGGGGAAATAACAATTGGTAGCGGCAACAACAACGTACTAAAGAGATTAAACAAGAATTGCACGTACACATAAACAACACTACGAAGGAGAACTATACACAGCGATTGGTAGCATTGGTAATTTATACTAATATAATGAGGCAAATATAGGGTGGTTCCACATCAGTTCACGCAATGATGGTCTGGGTCATAATTTAGATATTTTTGTTAAAAATACACATGAAAGCCATGTTCTTGGCAGGAACATTCAGCTCTATATGAACGCCGTAACAATTGTTTTCGCTGAGATATAAAATAGAGAAGCTCGAGGCGTGGAAATCCGGAAAATTTCACGATGCTACTTTGCAGTGCACAGTCGTCATTTTCTCATCGAAGCTTTTATGTCACCATAACTTTTTTAACACATTTCACAAAAAAATATACTAAATGTAAAAAAAAAAAGGATGTTTTTTTTTTTACCGCAAAAATAAACTAGGCATCGCCGAACGATCATTCTCCGCCCAAAGATAGCGCTAGAGGTTACAACCAGATGCCGAAGTTTCAGCCCGATCCGATGCCTCAATCAAAACTTATAACTTATAAGTGATTTTCTGAAAATTTCAGTGGGAAAATTGCGCCTGATGGAGTTTTCGAATACATAGGGCTCGATGGCACCAGAAACCGAAAACGGGCAAAAATGGGCTCCATTTTCCCATTCAGATTTTCAGAAAATCTCTTATAACTTTTGATTAAGTTATCGGATCGGGCTGAAACTTGGGCATCTGGTTGTGACCTCAAGCGCTACCCTTGGGCGAAGAATGAGCGTTCGGCGATGTCTAATTTATTTTTGCCTTGAAAAAAAATTAAAAAAAACCCTGTAAATACTTTTTGTGACACCCTGTACAACAAATACACAAAAAGTCAATATATATATAAAATATTTATTATTATTTGCAAAAAAAAAAAATCAAACATGGCATAAGAACGCGTTTTAGAGACATGTTCACTTTTCTTTTTTGCGAATGAACTATGTTTTATAATACTTCACAAAACATAAAATGCGCGTCTTTAAATTATATTTACGAATATACAAAGATAATATGCCCACCCTTAATTATCTTCGTGTTATTGACCCGGAAATGCAGCTGATTTCTCAAAATGGTGGGAAGATTGGGCGTCGATATTTAGAAAACTCCATTCTCTTTTCTTTTTTTAACTCCCCTTGGCACTTTGCAGTGACTTGAACTAACTTTTGATGGCGAAACACTGAGTAACATATGACCTCCTACCGGGAAAAGCTACGACACACCTTCACTTGGAGCGGACCGACGTCTTCTTCATAGCGGCATT